GGGCAGAGGGAGGAAAGGTGTTCTGGAAGTTTTATTCTGATGCTTCTTATTCTTGTAGTCCTGTTAAAAAAGTTTCTTTATACCTTTTAAGTTTTAAGCCTGTTTTGCCCTTCTCCTAATCCATATCTCACAGCAAGAAATGAGTAAGTGCACTGGTGATTTTAGCCAGTGCTAAAACCCACCACATTTTTTGGTGCTTTGGCTGGGAAACTCAAATTGGCAAATCTAAACCACCAGAGCAATACAACCATTCTGCCAAGTGGTGTGTTTTATCTAATGATCTGTAGGAAGTGCAGAAGGGAGGAAAGTAGGGCAGGCTGTGTAGTCCAGCAATTAGGACCCTTACTCTGTGGGGAGTGAAGGTGGGGAATATTATCGGTCAGTTCTACTTACACAATAATTTATGGAGATTGTTCTGTAAGCATGAATCATAATCTGGAGTTCCTTATCCCGTGTTGATGTTCCAGTTGGTGTCCCAGCTATGAGAACTTGGACTTGGTTTACTCCTTCTACTTTTTTTTCTGCTAGGCCTATTACTCTTTTTCCCTCTGTTTTTCCTTTTTTTTTCCTCACTGTGAAAGACCCAGTTCAAAATAGAGAACTTAAACTGATGGCCTGGTAGGTGGTGACTTTTTTCCTAAGGGATGGAAGATGAGCAAGATATGAAACCAAATTTTACCATTCTGGGTCAATATTTGAATGACCAAAATAGTATCTACTATCTACAAAGTATTTAAAATAACTATAAAAAGAAAAAAAAATAAATAAATTGAGGTACATGGGTTTTTTTTGATCTGTGTAAGGGCCATGCAAGATCAATCACTACATTCCACTCTGCCTGACTCTCACTGCTGGCCATTTCCTGGCCCGTGGCCACCACTGCCCTGATCCTCTGACAGCCCATTCCCACAGCTCCCCAGGCAGGTCCTCCAAATATGTCACCACAAGGGTTAAACAGCTGGAGCAACTGGTGGATGTCTGTGCAGGAATTCCACCTGTGAGGTTTCAGGCCAGAAAGGAACAATTGTGAGTTATGCAGAGTTGTGTTGTCAAAAAATCTTCAGTGAGATGTACAATGTGTTATTCAATTTTTTAATTGACAAGAGATTGTTTGCAATCCATGCATTTTTTATGTTATGTTCGACACATACAGTTATGTAGTGATAGCAGAGTTTTCATGTCAGACCATGAAAACAAGAGTGAGCTGGTGTACTTCTGCTCACTCTGTTTCCAGAAAGACACTAGTGTGTCCAGTCACTTGCTCTAGCTGCATCATTCAACTCAGCCTGATTTCCCTAGAGCTTCTAAAGAGTTTTTGCTGTTTGGATGATGCTTAGGGACATTTAAGCACTTTACTCAATCTGAAGCCTTACCCTTTTACTAGGATGTACATTGGATTTATTATCCCTTATCCCTTTATTATCCCTTTTGCATAATAATTCTACTGGAAACAACTATACTCTGTCAGAGTTCCTCAAGAGTTCAAGAAGGTGTTAATTTGGTTTCTGTCTGTACAAAAAGTACAAAAATACAAAACCTTCTACTTTTACCCATGAAAGAAAATCTAAGGAGGAGCAACAAGTTTTAGGTTGATACAGTAATTGTTAGAACTTTTTTTCTGAGCTTAATATTTCAAATAAAAGCACCTGAGCTGTAAAAAGTGAAAAATAACATGTAGGTCAATATGCAAACAGCAAACATACATCCCAAAACAAGATTTTGTCAGTTCAATCAAGATCAGACTGACGCAAAGAGTGAAATTATCCGGGTTGAATGTTTCTTTTGCTTCTGAAGCACACAGATTCTAAATGGAAAAATACATATTTTTCTTATTCTTCTGACAGATAATTTCTTCATAGCTGCAGTGTCTCTGAGTGGGAATTTCAGTCCAAGTCAACATTCTTACATGATGCCTGCTTGTTTTCTGTAAGAAAAAAAAGAAATTGCCTTCCTGCAAAATAATTTCTGGCATGGTATTGTCATAGGATTTAATGGATTTAATATTTTTCTTTTTTTCTCTCTTGGTCAAGCAAGCTAGCTTAGTTCCTTAAGGAGTTTTTAAATCTTGCCAACATTTACTTTTCTGGGGCAATATAAAATAACATTTGATATAGGGTTATTTTTTTTGTAATTGGTGCAACCACTTTTTCTCTAGTTCAACATAATTTTCCATGAATAATTAATGTGTTCTATGTCCCTCTGGTATGAAAATTGCCTTTGATTTTGTTGGTACATTTGAAACCAAAATACATAATCTGTGTTTAATGGCATCTGGTAGAATTTCTATAATCTGGGAAATATTTTTGTGTTTTTATGCCCAAAACGTAAATGGAAAAGGAATTTCTTACTTCTGTGCAAGTCAGCAGACTTTCAGGAATAAACAACTTCTAGTTTTTGGTAAACAGGAAAAATAAGGATATATTGGTGGGATTGGCCAGGAAAAAAAAGAAGACCAAACGGTACATTATCACAAATATACATCCAGAAATAAAGACATTTCTTTATTTTATTTACATTATTCTTATTTTCATCCCTGCAGATGAAAAACCTGAGAGGATTGAGAAGATGCTCTTCAGCCACCTCCTTGCCTGGACACTTCGGTATTATCTGTCGTTGCTGATTTGCTTTCTGTAGAGCCTGTCAGATTCTAACATCTCTGTTGCAGTGGGATCACACATCAAAAGACTTTTACCCTCACTTGCTGAATATTTTTGGAATTTAACAACTGCCTTTCTCTTTAAGTTTTGGTTTTGTCAGCCAGCTTCGCAAACTCTACCTTGCTGATGTAGGAAGCAAAACACCAACAGTAGCTAATCAGTCAGAGTCAGTCCTCTGTTCTGATGGCCCTCACAGCTGATAAACAGGAACCTTATATCTGGGACCACAAGTTTCTTTGGCAGAGGTGGAAGGGCTCAGCTGCAGAATCTCATAAAAGCCTTTTGCTGGCATGGAGTACCCAAGAAATTTACTCTTCGCTGCTAAATTTCAGAGACAGAGAAGCACCAGGTCAGTAATACATTGTTCTTACGCAATGTCATCTCCCTGCTCTGTGTCATCCTCTGCAGTGTCATCTCATTGCTGTATTTCCCTTGTTTATACACCAAAACCTCTTGTTTAGCCTCTTAGCTACAGCCTTACACTGGGGACTGATTTTCTGTTGGTTATGTGGCATCATTCTCAATCTGATTTCATTATCTACCACTGCTTTCTATTACATCTGTACTGTAGGTCTCCACAACTGAACTCTGTATCTGTAATGTATTGTTCATTTCACAGTGCCTAGCTTTATGTTTTGGGAGTCCTGAAGTGCATGTTTTTCAGCTAAGCCTATCTTATGGAGTTTCTAGGCTGGCCAGTTTGAGCATCACCAGCTGTAATGTTCTCAGCATTAATAGCTTTAGAGTGAGCTTTGGCACCACTTGCAGAATTTATTTACTGTTGCCTTTTCATATTTTCTTTAGAAAAACAGTGAGTACAATTGGGTTTTAACGTAAGTTTTAATTAAATAGTGTTATCTGGGTTTTGTTTTTTGGTTTTTTAGCTTAATAGGACCAGTGAATTGTTTAGCATACAGGATGAATGGTGCTCACCATTCATGACCAGCTATTTAATTTTTCACTTTTATCTTCTTCATTCAGTATCTGGCCTTATATTTTATTTATTTCAAATTATAAGAACATGCACTGAAGGTGGAATTATTAATTTCCTCATGGACTTTGCTTCAGTACTCAGTGTAGTGCATCATACTTTTCTCAGTGCTTCTGAAGCATGTATTTGAATATATTTCCAACAAACTCCTCTGAGGTACAATGTTATGAATATTCCTGTTGTACTAAGAAGAAACAGATACGTGGAAGTTTAGACTGCAGTTTCACAAGAAGCTAAGCTGATGCTCTTTTTGCTTTTTTTCTTTTGTTGTTTTTAACTTGTTAAACCCTTTTGTGAGTCATTTCAATTTGTTATATAGAAAACTATTTTTATTTCTTTCTTCTTGGGTAAACTTTTTACTATGTGCAGGCTTGTGCAGTGGTTTCAGGAGGAGAAGTGATTGATGGGATTGGACTGCTCCACCTGTCAAAAAAGGTGGATAGTTAGATTTGTCTACTTGTATGTCTTCCAATCTCATCCCAAGTTTAGATACAGCTTAGTAGGAGCTGCATTTATAGACATCCCTGAACTTAAGGGCCAGTTATTTCCATAAGCTGCTGCTACATATTCCAACAGTTAATAGTTTGTAGAGGTATATGGTGCTGTTTAAACATCTTGGTACATCCTTATGTAGTCTGAGTGCTGTTATGAATCTGTCTGCATTGTTGTGTTTTGAATTATGTTTTTGAACTTTGACATTTCAAACTTTAGAATGGTACTTTTGAATAGGTGTTACTTTTCTACATAAATTTCTGCTGCAGCTGAGGGTAGCAAGGCAGTAGTAACATGTTCTAAGGAGTAAATTGACTCTTCGTTATCAAGCAGAACACATATTACAGTTAAGAAAAAATAATTCTCAGCATTTTGAATCTTCCCTAGCTACCAGATAAGAGATCTGTTTTCAGCTGCCTCATTCAAAACTTCCAAGCACAGAAGTTTTTAACACAGGCCAGGTAATGATCATTGTGGGTCCCTTCCAAGTCAGGATATTTTGTGAACCCTTGTGACAACTACAGAAGAGTTTCAGTGTATCTAGACTATACATTTAGTCACACATTTTTTTCAGCTGGCTGATATTGATGATGGAGGGGTGAAGCTGAGTCTCTTTGTGACAGTAAGATTGCTTTGAGGACTACAGTCTACTTCTGTTCCTTTCAGTTGGTAGAATTAGTTCAGGTGTCTCTCACATGCGACTGAGACAGTAACATGGCTAATATCACGGCCAAAGCTCTCTAGGGAGCCGTGCTGTGCTGTTGAAAGTCACCAACTAGAACAGTCTGATCTTCTCTCTTACAGATCACAGGAACTCGTCACAGTGAGTTCACAAAATCAATTGACAATCACAGGAACTCGTCACAGTGAGTTCACAAAATCAATTGACAGTATGCTTTAGCTGTGGATGACTTTCTAGAGATAGGTCAGCTGTGAAGACTGCACTGTTAATTACCCATGATGAAAAGTGAAATCAGCTTAAGTGATTTCCTTAGCACCACCCAGGATCTTTTTAGAAGGTGCTAGAATGGGATCTGCTTTTCCAGAGGACACAATGCTACAGCAATTGTATGTAAATTCTTCCAGTTTCTTTTTTTTCACTTTTGCTTTCTAATTCTTACAAAGGAGCAGGAGCTCTAAAAATGGAAGCTTTTTTTGTGATCTTTACTTTTTTTTACAATGTACTTATCTTATGCTGAGAGGGCCCTTCAAAGAAAAATAGCCTGCAATCATAACAAAAGCTGTATTTGTTATTGTCCCTATCCTGCTGAAGTAGGTAGATGTTATCTTGAGTGCTTGGTTTATTGCATCTCATTTTGCACTGTGTAAAAGTACAGTTTCTAAGGGAGTTGCCAGCCAACCAGAAAAATCTCTTTATAAAAGATCCTGGACAAGCCAATGGATTTCTATACACTTAAAGTCTGGTTTTTATTTCCTACATGAATAAAACTTAATGAAAGTGAAAATATTTTAGATAATATCTATATTTTTAAATGGTTGTAAGATCTAGCCTTATATAAAAAATGCTTGCACTGCTTCAAAAAAGATGGTGATAGCTGCTCTCAGATGGGAGAGGGCAAATTTTTAGCTTTGTGCAAATGGTATGTGGAATTATTGGCAGCTTCTGTTTCTTTAGTGTTCAAGAACCAAATTCAAGGTTTCCAAAACTTGTAGCAGGAAAATATGTTTAATCCAAAGAACAAAAATTGCATAAACATGGCTGTTCTCACAAATGTTTCCTTGTCCTGCTGCATACTTTCTTTTTAGTGTGAGCTTCCCAGCACAGTGTTTGGGAATACCAAGTTCCCTCTATTATGCTCAACACAGGAGGACATGACTAAGGAATTACATATCCTCTCAAGTGAAATTTGACTAATGAAGGGAAATGAAGCAGAGATATTAAGTCCCTATGGCCCTACATCCTCCCTTATCATGAAGGATCCTTTAAACCAGTGTTGTGTGAATTGCTTTTAGCTGGTGGATATCTCAAGAGAAAATTTTGTAGACTTGTACAAGAGAGTTTCAAGAGTTCATTGGATAAGATCAATATAGGTTATTCATTGTAAAAATAATAAGCCTAAGCTGGAAATACTTATTTGGTACCTATTAGAAGCGAAGAATTACCTATTAGCTTGTGAATAACCTTTTCATTTTCTCTTAAGTTCTCCTGCACATGTTTATCCCGGGTTATTGCTTGTCAAGCTCTGTGGCCACATGGGCAGTCAGGGATCTCCCTACTGAGGGCCATTGTACAGGCACAGAATGAGTCTTGTGCTTGTGTCTTGGACTGCCAGACTTGGTAGCACATTGGGATCCTTCCCTGATGGGAAGGGAATGGCAAGAGGGAGAAAAAGCTTCAAACATTTTACAAAGGGTTATTGAGTTTTGGTAGGAATGGATCTTCCCAAGGGAAGAGCTGCCATTGATTTTAGTTAGAGACTTAGCTGCATTAGCTACTGTAAAACTTCCTGTTGAGGAATTATCACCAGCTAAAGGTCATCAGAGCTGACACTGACTAAAAGGATACGTGTTGGCTGGAGAGGATATTTGGATTTTGTTCATTTATTTATTGTGTGTATATTTGTATACACCAAATATAATCCCCTCCCCCCTGGGGTTGTTACCTCCTCCTGCCCTCGCAAGATAAATATTTATATTTTTCTCTGGAATATGCCAAAGTCTTCCAGAAGTATATTACTAATGCAGCTCCTGGTTTTTATATGTTGTTTACTCTTCTCTTATCTTCTTCATGTAAGGAGAGTTGGTTTGTTTTTTTTGTAGTAGGTTTCATTTTGACACAAGTCCTTTAGAAAACAAATATCCTGCTGCGTCTTTCAGGTAGGATACATCAAAGAAGACACTTTGCATTTAAAAGACAGTGAAGTTTGCAAAAGTTCTTAGTTATTTTCAGATTTAACGTCAGAGGTTTAAACCTGCCCTGGAGAAAGCTCAAAAAAGCAAAAGTTATATAGTTTTGTGGTAGAAAGTGTCTTTTCACCTGGAGAGTGTAAAATTGAAAAAAAAGAATAATAAAAAAATCCTACTGTAAAATATCAGCTTTTTCCTTCTGGCTATTGATGTTGTTTCGTATTTCTATCCAGTTAAGTACCCTACAGAGTACACTTTTCAGAAAGTTGGGAAGATGTGAATGGTAGTCTGAAAAAATTGAAAAATTACAAGTGTAATATACAGGACCATTGCTAGGAAGCTGTACAAGTACTTGTCAGAGACTCAGATCAATCCTTTTAAGAGTGATTTCTGTAAAGATTCATGTTACATAGGTAGCTAAATCAAACCAGTTAATTTGATTTATGCAAAACATTTGTGGAGTTTGAGGCCTGTAAATTGACAGAGTAGAGGAAAAAAAAGGAGACTGGAGAAGTGATAAGCAGGAACCATATGTTTTAGATTAAGAGTGTGGATTTTTTTATCTGGTAAAGAAATTTAGACCCAACTGTAAAATTTGCCTGTGGACTGGAATTTTTTTGGCTACCATACGTGTAAGGAGTCCACAAAAGACAAAATTAAACATATACTGAATTCATATTCATGCACAGAAAGAGAGGCTACATTTTAATTTAGAAAACACTAAGGAGTAGCTTGTGCACATTATTGGTTTTGGGTAAAGAGGAAGAAAGCAAAACCTGAAAATTACCTTTTGGTCAACCTGGCCATTAAAATGACACCTCTGTTGCTTTTCTGATAAAAACAGTAGTTTAGTGGGATTATGACAAAAAGGAAATGTATATTCCTGCATATTATTGTATTGTTACTGGGTTTCTTTTAATTGCAAATGACTTCTTGTACAACATATTTTATGAATAGGTATCTATATAAAACCCAGTGTTTTATTCTAATAAGCAATGATCTGACTTTCTTGCTCCAATGAATAGAAGACTTGCTCTCTGTTAGAAGACTGTAGTGACTGCTGCTAATATTTATCCACTCCAGTTTTCTCAGAACTGTAAATACAGGGCATGATATCTGCTTAAGTCATGATTTGGTTAATTAATCTCTTCTTCATAACTTTCAATGTCAGTGACAGTGATATTAGTAGTTGAACTTTGTTACTCTATTTACCATTTCATTTCCTCTCTGTCTCTCTTTTCTTATGTCTTTCTGAGTCTCCTCCCTTAAACACTCCTCTCCTAAATTCAAATGCTATTTCTTAGCACTGATTCTTTGATATAATGTGTATAATATGACCTATGTGTATAATATGTGTATAATGTGACCTAGTTATGAATTAGTAATCAGAATTCAGAATGTTTCTGTTTGTTCACCTAGTCTCCAGATGCAATGCAAAGTCTGCCAAGAGGACTAGATTAAATCCCTAGGATTCCATTTGATTTTCCACTGTCAGTGGGCATTCTCTATAGCCACAAGCCATACTTTTGGTTTTCATTTCCAGTTAAAAAGGACACACCTTTTCTTTCTGCTTAGTTTGTAAGACAATTAAATGTTAATGGAGAAGAAATTTTTCCTGAAAATTAATTTTTGCAATTATTCCAAAAGAACACCACTGGCCTTCTGCATCAAATCTAGGATAACTTTGTTAGCAACACAGGGTGGACCTGGAAGGTACTAATCAAACTCTCCTATTCAACAGATGTGCATGGTGGAAGATAGCAACCTGAAAAAGCTCTTAACTCTACTTAAACTCCTTTACTACACAGTATATGGGTTTTTGTTCTGCCGTATTTATCAGAGCATGTGGTCAGAATTAGACATATGTTTAGGTTCCTAGTTCAGTGAAAATCGGTTTCAGTATGTTTTTTAGGTATGATGGGAGGTTTAATGAGAGGCAGAATATGGTCACTTCAGTCATATAACTAGATTATAGCTCAGGACTGTCAGTGGTCATTACAAGTTTGGAAAAGTCTCTTTCACAGAGCTATGAATTACCAGCTTGTGCTTTTCATCTCTTTTCTACTTTCTTTTAAACTAATGATCTATGTTGGAGCATTAATGGTATTGTTAGTAAAATATGATACAGAGAAATCTTGTCTTTTTGGGAACTGCATAGATTCTGGGGGCTAATAGTGGAGGGCTGATTTTTTTTTCTTCTAGGTATTTCTGAGGAATGGATGCTGGTCTGCTCTCTTGTGGAAACCTCTAGAAGAATGTTCACTAAAATATAATGTAGCTAAATACCTGGCTTTTAGGAATTTAATTCTCTGATTGGTTTTTTTTTCCTTCCACATTCCTTCCAAATCTGTTTTCCCCAATTCCATATTTTAGATTTGTATTTTCTTTTCTTTTTGATTGAATTCAGTTTAGGCTTGAGTTTCCCTGTTCTTCCTTGTTTCCAAACTTATGTGGATTTTTGTTTTGTTTTGTTTTTTGATGAGAGAAAAGAATGCTGGAACATACTCAAAAGGGCATTTTCTTTGCCACCTCCTCTGACTATGTACATTCTTTGATAAGTACGAAAGAAAACCTACAGAATGTCCATGGCATGTAAAATGTACCCTTTGAATGAATCATTTTCAGCAGCCTTGATGAAGTGGGAGATGTTCTGATTGGAACTGGAACCATCCACCTACTTCTGTTCATTACATCGACGCTGCTCTGTTCTCTTCTCTGAACTCTGAGAGTTACTTATCCACCCACATAGTTAATCTACAGAAACCATTCTCAAAGGTTTGTTCCTTACCCTATAATCTTTTATACTTTCTACTCTTTGTGTCATCAGCTAATTTAGACTATTTTTTAAATTAAGTAATATATGTTAAACCATATCAATATAGGGTTTGACTTGAAGCTGTAAAATTCTAAAAATTCATATTTAAGTAAATATATATATTACAACAAACATTCTATAAATAAAACATAAATATATAAATAATATATATAAGCGCTATATAAATAAAATATAGCTTACTGTGAGAGATTATAATTAGGTTTTTAATTGCATATTTAATATTTCAATTATTAGAAAAATTTATTTCTTACTATATTTTTATTATAAAATGGTTTAATTCATTTTAGAAAAAAATAGTTAATAGTCTTTAATCTCTAGGGTATTTTAATCTCTCTAGGGTATTTCTTTCCATTTGGTAAAGGCAATGAAATGAATTATCATTAACAATTTCAGAGCAGAAGAATATTAGATGTGCTTTTCGGAGAAAAAAAGTGTGAGATCTCCTATATGTGACATGTTTTGTATTGGCTTTTTGGTGGGTCTCTCCTTCTTTTCCCTGTTCTCTCTTAATTTTTAAAGCAAGTTTTCACCTAAAAAAAATTGCAGCATATCAGATGTTCACACACTCTCACTTGCAACAAATCTTGTAGTTGAAGTTTTCACAGTTGCTGGGAATTACATGTATTACCCAGCTCTCCTGCACTCTGCAGCTGTGCCTGCTCAGGAGTTGTGCTTCTGTCCCTGCTTCCCATCTACATAACACATCCAGTCCCCAGGGTCAGCTGATTCTACCTGGAGTTGGTTCATTGCAGCAGGCAGTACAACGTATTATAAACCAAATTCCTTACCCCAAAAAAACTAAGTAAAACAACCTGCCCTAATAGTAAGAGAAAGATATTATTCCTGGACTTCATCCTGTGATGGTTGTGTTGCTCATACTCCTTATTTAGCAAATAGGGTGTTTCTGCATGTAGCACATGAGCGGGTTATGGATGAACAGACAGTCCCCAACAAAAGTTGTGATGAAGGATATAAGCCTCTGGCATAATTTAGTGATTGATGATTTGTGTATGTTTCATGCAAAGGGCCCCTTTTACATTCCCTTTCCCAGGTGTCTTGGTTGATGGATGCATTTCACTGAGATGGATGCAGATTTGTTAAAGCACTCTTTTACTCTTTCAGCCCTTTCATGTGGTGTAGAAGGTTGAGAGAATAGATTAATACATTCTCTGCTTTCTAATTCACTGTTTTATCAGAAAGAAAATGTACCTACATGAGTTTTCCCAAGATCTAAATAAACAGTTTGACAGCAAAAGTTGTGGACAGCTAAGCACATCTGGAAGTTAAGTACATTAATTGTAAACCCAGTCCTATAACAGCATTCAATCTGTCCTATGCATGTGCCAAAGTCTTCCCTCTTCCCTTGCTCATGCTTTCATAATTCATGGCTGTAATTCACCTGGGGGTTGCTGGTGCTCTGTCAACATTTAATTGCTCTAATTACTTAATTATCTGCTCTGGTGAAGTGGTAATTACACTGGGCTACTGAGCCCCTTGTTTTCTCAGCCTGTAGATATTTGTGAGAGGTTTCCTCTTTAAAATGAATCTACTTAGTTCTAAATTTGGTGGTGAGACAGGAAGTCTAAAAAGGATGTGTCGAGTGATATTTTTGCAGGCTAATCCAATTAAATTGGAAGTCACTTTATAGTGGGTTGCTTTGAATGACAAGGGAGAAGCATGGCCTCATCAAGCAAGAAAATTATCTTGTTTACAGATACTGATGTTCAGAGATCATTGTGGCAACTGCTAAGTGACACTTCAGGAAGAACTGTAATGAATTATGTATTTAAAACTTTGGCTTTAAAAAAAATGACAGAAAAGCATTTTTCTGCAATAAGTAAGCTTTTGTTTCTATGTTGTGTATTTTTCTTGCAGAAGTAGAAGCTTCAGTCAAGCTAAACTTTTGTGTAGTACATGTTTCTGTAGTAAAGAACAATGGAAAAATTGAGGATCCTAAACGCTATTTACTGTTAAGAATTATTTCATAAATGCATCTTTTGTTTTTTTTTTTTTCACTTCTCTGGGAAAGAAAATGTTCAATGTTTGTGCAAATGTTTTTTCATAGCTGGGTGATTCCAGTTGATTAATGGAAGGTACTAAAGAAATATTATTTATGAGCTATTCCTTCAGTTTTTGAAATAAAATTACTCCTGAAAGGCTAGAGAAAGCTTTGTGTTAGCTTTACTGTAGAAATGAAAAGACAGGGAGAATATAGTGCAGTTCTACTAATAGCAGTTAAATAATGCCTGTGCTCTTACTGTAATGGGACAACTACTGCCAATTTTCTGTTTTCTTTCACTGGATGAAAAGAATTTTATTTCATCAAGAGGATTTATTTGAATGAATGCATTAAGGGAATGGGGTAGAAAGAACACTGCTTTTTAAGAAGAAGGATCATATACAAGCCCTGTTCAGCTCCTTGGAGAATTTCAGTAGCTGTAACTACCAGGATTCATGGGACCAAGTCAATAAACTCCTGAAGATCAATATCTCTCTCTCCCTCCTTCCCTCTTTACCTCCATATGTAAAGAGGCAGCATGCCTGTTGTAATACTAATCACGCAATTTTGCCTCATGTTAGTGCCCTGTGTCATTCAGAGAAACATCATTCTTGTACTGATGATCACCATAACAAAGCTACAGGAGCACGAAGAAAGCTGCTTGTTGTGAGGGTTTAGTGTAGAAGATCTGCTGTTTGTTCGGACAAGAGAATTCAAATATCAGGAGAACAGGTAATGCCAGAGAAGAAGCTGGAAAACATGAAATCTATCAGCCTTCATCTATACTGTTGGTATTTAGGCCCAAGGAGCATGTTTCTTGATGTCAGTATAATTTTCAGTGTCTCACTAAGCAAGTGTGCTTTCTTGATAAAGCTCTGGGCTGGGATTGGCAAACGTGCACCTGAAGATTATCTAAGGCATTGGGACTTTTGCTGAAAGTCACTTATCACCAGTCTATGCCGTATTTTTTTAAAAGTTACTAAGGCTTTGTGTAATGACATATGATTTGCCTTCCAAAGACAGTATTTACATATGAAAAGTCTATATTGATATGTAGAAATTGCTATTTCTAAAATTTATTACATTTTAAAAAGTACCTTTAAAAAAATAGTTAATTCTACAGTTATGTTCCTGCTTTAAAGCTAGGATTTGTTGAGAGACACAAAGATGATAAAGACATATTTTTGGCATTTTTACTTCTAGACTGGTGAACCTAGAAGTTCTTTTAAGTTCCCTGCTAGGTCAGGGCAAGTTTTACTTGACATCAGTTCTCATCTTCTCTACCCTTTTATTTTTTGTGGGTAAATGGCTCATGTGCTTCCTTCCCAGCTTTTTCTCCTGAACCAGTTGGGGGAGCGACTACTGAAATTTGCTTTCTAGAGGAGACCCCTTTGGGAAGTTCCCTCCGAAATACATCCCAAACCAGGACACATACATAGCTGGAGTTTGGTTCTATGGCACAGTCAAGCCAATGAGACTCTTTGTGACTTTTGAAGGTCGTGATCTTACCATATTGCCCTCCTACTACAATCCCTTTGCAAATACAGATTCTTACCTGATCCCATATGAAGCCAATCACAGGAATTTATGTCAGCACAAAACTGTTCAAGTTTTCTTGTAGTTACTCTTTCTTATGGTTCATCGTCTGAAATTGGCTAATCCTTGGAATCCATTTGAAACTGTAGCCCACCAAGGGAAAAAAAAATGCAGGGAAAAGCAGTGAGCTCCATTTCTACATTAATTTTGTGGCAAGGTCTGTGAAGGAAAATAATAATAATATAATAATAAAAATAAAAAAAGTTATTGAGTACCATTCCATATTTTTTAAACAAGATAAAGAAAATTTGTAATTTTTTTTGTGTGTGTATTTGTGCTTGCTCTTTGAAGTGAAACCTATGTTAGAATATCTTTTTAAATAACCTAGAAGCAAACTGAAGATCAGGAAACTTGTTGTTGAGAGTATAGCAGGCTATGCACAAGCTTTAGATGGTATGTTTTTCAACAAGCTTTACTAAGGCACTTTTTCCTTTGACCTGCCTCAATTCAGTCTTCTCATTCCACTGTCTGGAAATGGTTTGGAAGGATGCAGAGTTATTGGTTCTTTCTGATGCTGTGTTGCTGTAAGTGAACTGCATAATACAAACACGTGTATCTGCATTTGATGGAACAGTGGCATTAATGATATCAACAGCAGCACTGTGCTCTTTGCATCGTTCCCTTCTGCCAGGTGTGGAAGAGGAGGAGGAGGAGGAGAAGACAGTCTGTCACAGGCTGGTTTCTCCAAAAGAAGAGACTGTGAGGAAAAGTGGTAGGGCTTCCTACACAACCTGATCCATTTTCTCATGGTGCCTACTCCCACACTGCCTGCTGTGTTCTTATTAGGAGCTGTCTGCTCATTTCCAGTATGTGTCTAATTCCTTAGAGGACCCTATTAAAATGCATGGGTCATGCAAAACCAAATTTAGTAACACTCTAAAAACAGGATGAGTGCTAAAGTGAAGGATCCTTCTTACATACTGTATACCAGGTAAACTCAAAATGTGGCACAGCAGACTACTTTTTTTTCAAATAATCAGAAACCATTTTCTCTGAGCCCAGTAACACTGTACACCCTGAGAGGATCCACAGAAGTATTTTTTTTGAAACAAGATAAAGTTCTTGATCCCTACTCATTATCACAGAACCATATTTTTCCCTCATAAACTAACCAAATATAAGATGTTCCTTGATAACAGGATTAGTTTTAAAAAAATATTAAAAATATTTTGACTGATGGGGAATGTGTGATTGCCAATGGGTATAATTTCTCTTGTGCTGAGTGCAGTAATAATAAATTTCACTGTTGGTTAGAAGTCCATTTTATGCATCTCTATGTCACTCTTATTCGTAAATTGACAGGATTCAATTTAACATCTTGGGTATTTTTATGATTTAAGAATC